TTGCAGAAAAAATCTCAAGATTTTGATAAATGATAAATATCAAAATAAAAATATTATTTTTCAATCAATCCAAAAAGCCTTACCAAATTAAATTGTAACAAACTCCGTTAATTTCAGTAAACATTATGTCACATTGATATGGCACATAATCTTCAAAATAAAAAATTATTTGTTGACTTACTAATATAAGCATTATCAATGGGGCCCACGTGTCAACTAATTTAATCGAATTTTGGTAACAAATTTGATTGAATTTTGATAACAAGTCTTGAATTTTTGGGGACAAATTTGACACACTTCATAGATATTTTTACACAATATAATAATCTTTGGGACTTATTTGGGTAACAAATTTCACAATTTTTTGGATTGTTTGGAGTTAAATATTGCAGAAAAAATCTCGAGATCTGATAAATGATACATTTCAAAATAAAAATATTATTTTCAATCAATCCAAAAAGCCTTACCAAATTAAATTGTAACAAACTCCATTAATTTCGGAAAACATTACGACACATTGATACGACACATAATCTATAAAATAAAAAATTAATTGTTGACTTAATGATACAAGTATTATCAATGGGTCCTACATGTCAACCAATTTAATTAGAAAAAAAAAAAAAAAAAATTGATCGGATTGTGATAACAAGTCTCGAATTTCTATAACAAAATTGATCTTATTTTGATTACAGATTTCGAATTTTGTTAACAATTTTGATCTAATTGTGCTAACAAATCTTTTAAAAATATCAGTTTGTTTGGTAACACACTTCATAGTTATATACACACAATATAATAATCTTTAGAATTTCTTTTGGTAACAAATTTCACAATTTTTTTTGGATTGTTTGAAGTTAAATATTGTAGAAAAAATCTCGACATTTGATGAATAATACATATCAAAATAAAAATATTATTTTTCAATCAATCCAAAAGGCCTTACCAAATTAAATTGTAACAAACTCCATTAATTTAGGTAAACATTATGTCACATTGATATGACAAATAATCTTTAGAAAAAAAATTAATTGTTGACTTACTAATATAAGCAACATCAATGGCCCCCACATGTCAACCAAGTTAATCGGATTTTGCTAACAAATTTGATCTGATTTTGATAACAAATTTGATCTTATTTTGATAACAAATCTCGGATTTTATTAAAAAATTTAATGTGATTGTGCCAACAAATCTCGAATTTTGATAACAAATATTTTATAATATTTTGATACCAAATATATTTGGTAACACACTTCAGTTATTTATACATAATATGTTGCTGATAATTTTGAGATTTCTTTTGGAAACAAATTTCACAATTTTTTCGGATTGTGTGGAGATAAAAATTGCAGAAAAAATCTCGAGATTTCATAAATGATACACATCAAAATAAAAATATTATTTTTTAATCAATCCAAAAAGCCTTATCAAATTAAATTGTAACAAAATTCATTAATTTTGGTAAACATTATGTCACATTGATATGACACATAATCTTCAATAGATTTTGATAACAAATTTTTTAAAATATCGTTTTTTTTTGTAACACACTTCATAGTTATTTACACATAATATATTGTCGATATTTGGGATTTCTTTTGGAAACAAATTTCACAATTGTTTTGAACTGTTTGGAGTTAAATATTGCAGAAAAAATCTCGTAATTTCATGAATTATACATATCAATCCGAAAAGCCTTACCAAATTAAATTGTAACAAACTTCATTAATTTTGGTAAACATTATGTCACATTGATATGACACATAATCGTGAATAATCGACAAAATCCGAGATACATGTAACATGTTCCACATTTTTTTGTTTTTTGTGTTTTTTTTTATCAAAAGCGGATAAACATATTTTTTCGAAGTCGATCGTAATCACATTATTTAGAAAAATAAATCATACTCAACTTAAAAACCTAACGTAAATCAATTTTTAAATTCCCGTGCGTGGCATGTGTCACATACACAAATGTCTATATAACCATCACCAACATTGAACCAAAAATATTCTACAACCAATACATCCTACAAAACATTTTTTCTTACAAGTTTTTTCATATACATTCAAAATGACATTGGATTTTGGAGTAATTACAGATATCAAACAATATTGGCATCTATAAGTGAACGATAGGTAATTCGAGGATCATTATCAATAGCCAAACCAACATTCTCAAGTGGAGGGTTGAATTTTCTATGTATCGTTTTGACTTTAAAAAACTTTCTAACTTTGATGGATGTTCATAATGTTGATGAAGCCATGTTGTTTGGTACGTTATAATTTCTTGTTTGTTTCTTATTTTGATTTTTTTAAGTTAAAATCTTTAATAAACTATATTATACATTATACATTTCAATATGATGCATTGTCTTATATTTTTGTAGATGTTATTGGATTGGTTGTTTCAATACAACCTATTCAAATGAAGGTTGTCGAGGGGTTCCTACCTAAATAATTGTATTCTCTATTATGGATTTGGAGTAACAATTTTTAGCATTATATATTCATAATGTTGATTTTTTTCTATTATATTTCGATTTTAATGTTTTACGCATATAATATCTTAAAAAATATTAGTATATCAATGTTTAAAATTTATTTTCGCAACTCATAATATGCTTTTTAAAAACCTCTTGGACATTGTCTGGGGGAAACAAAAATAACTGCACGGTTTGGGACAACTTGTATGTTGTTGTCTCCCGTGTTACAAACAAAAATGGATTGAAAATCCTAATTTGTGGAAACGATGACGTGCCAAAGAATCAAACCATGAACGTTGTATATATGGCAATGTTCAATAATATATAGATTTTATTTTCATTACATTTATTAATTTATTAATCATTAATGATATGATCTTTCCTTTGGTAAGAACTTTGAATTTTAACTTAAACTAGTACAATACCCGTGTACTACACAGGTACTTGATAATAAAATTATTTTTAAAATTAAATTATAATGACAACAACAACAAAAACAATTGTTTAAAATTAAATATATGTTTTTATTAGGCTAATTTGAGGTTTTCATAGAAAATAAGGAGCCGATTGAGAGCTTCCAAAAGAAACCATGGTTAAAGTAGTCAATTAATACCATTACTAAATGTTCTAATACAACTTAAGTATTATTTTAGTCAAACTATTATAGAATTATCAAGTTAGTTTTTCAATATCTTTGGAATGTCCGAACCTAAAATTATTAATTTAGAATAATATTATTTTTTATTCAAACCAAACTACGAAGCATTTTTCGCCATGTAGGATTCCGAGGAATGCGAGGCTGCCACTTAGACTCAACTCATTCTCCAATTATATATAGGGGGATTTTCTTTTTAAAAGGGACGAAGATAATAAACACCCGTGCATCGCACCGGTACTATACCCGTCACAAATTTATAAAGACAACCTATTTACCAAAAACAGTAACAAGAAAAGTCCACCAACATTTATTGCATTATATTTTTAGTTTTTTTTTTTTAAATTGTTCCTAAAAAATCAATCAACTATATATGCACCCTAAATTCATGGGTTTCATGGATTTAAGTTAGGCAAATTTCGACTGATGGTTACAGTTTTGCAAAAGTCAAATTCTTTCTCGTGGTACTGTCGTCTTCCCCCAAACCCTACCCCCAAATTCATCGCCGCTCATCGTCTTCCCTTCATTCCGATTGAGCTGCCTTCCCCAGCGGAGTAGCAGGTGTGGCCAGAGGTAGTTGATGACCGCTCATCCCTCCCTTTGACGATGCGCTCCTCGGTGGTCGAGGGGAACGGCCCGCGATTGGCGATTTGGCTCACGATTGAAGTGGAATCCCGGTCGATGGTGGTACCCTTTTGCTCGTTTTGGGGTTTTTTTGTCAGTCGCCGGCGGTGCTTCGCACTGTTGAGGTAATCCTTTTTACCTTTTATCGTCTTCAATTTGGGGGCTTTTTTGCTCTGGCGTGGTTTTACTCTTCGGAGTTAGAACCGGGTGTCGGGTCGCGGGTGGCTCGTGGAGTTTTCGGTTGGTGCGGTCGTCTTTGGGAGGGGCGGGATGCCGGTTGCTGTGGTTTCGTCGCTCAGTGGTCGGGGTTTGGCCCATTTCGGC